AGGAAGGAGCAAGGCTGGCTTCAGGGACTCCTGCAGAGGGGGCAGGAGCTGTTGGGAAAGGCATGGGAAGGTGGGCAGGGTCACATAACCTGCAACTGCTCTGCTTGGAAAGGTTCTGGGGAGCGTGCAGGCTCTCACCCTATGTCATTGTCACCATAGAAGTCCGCTGGTGGCTCCTGCAGGTGGCTGGGCTGCGATGGGTTAGACAGCTTGGACAAAATACAACAGGGACATCAGAACAGACCTTGACCCCTAGGACATTCCTGATCTTCAAGGGCACAAGGTCACCTTCGTGCTTTGCCAGCAAAAGGTGCCCAAGCCCTTGCTCTAATAGCGCAAAGAAATAATAAAATGCAGACACACAACAAAATGCTTCTCACTGAGCTCCACTTGAAGCATCTGCTGGCAAAATCTTTGTTTACTGCCTCATCTCCTCACTTGAAACTCTACCCTGGCCTGTGGTTCAGGGACAGATCAAATGCTGCAATGGGAAGGATTTTCTGTGCTACAAAAATAAAACATTTTGGGAGGGAGGGGAAGGTTAGGTTGGCCTTTAAAAAACGAGCTGGCTCCTTTGTCTCTCATACCATTGTCCTTTAATTCTTTGGAAGGCAGAAGACCTTCACTTGCACTGCGTGCCATGGTTTTGTTTTTGTTTCGGGTTTTTTTTATTGCTTTTTGTTGTTTTGGGTTTTTTTTTCAGATCAAGGAAGCAGCAGGAGTTAGCTGGCTGTCCATCTTCCACAGGTGTTTCAAACGCAGCTATCCCCATGCTAGTTGGGCCTGGGACAATTAAAGGTAGCATTAAATGAGCAGGAAAGGACTCTGGTTTTCCCTTCCACCATTGCCTGCCCCTCTCCTTCCCCCTACCCTTTCTGCTTCTCCAGCTGCTCTTCTCCTCTCCAGTGACTTTTTTCTTTTCTGAGAACACTCAGATCCTCCTGCTCTCAAATCAGAAGTTCTACCTACCCCACAGGAGAATCTCCATTCACTGTTAGCACTATTGACTCTATGACACACAAGTGAGCAGTTCCAGTTGCCATTCTACAGCAGTAATACAGATACACAGTGACAGTTTCATGGAGATACACAGTAGCATGATGCCAGCAACGGGCAGAGCTGGTGACAGACTTCAATGGACCCTGATCAAGGGGGCTTCTTGCACAAGAGTTATTCCTCTCGCCACGAGGAATAAGCCTTTTTGCACAAGAAGGCAGTGGGACAGGCAACATGGATTTCTTGAGCAAGAAACCCCTATGGCTAAAAGGGCTTGCAAATGGACATCATA